ATGCATTGTAACTCTAATTTAATTTTCAACAAAGTGTATGGTCCAATTTTATTATTTATATCCGTTTTCTTTATCATCTTATGTATAGAGAATGGCAGAAATGCTGCTACGGAAAAGTGGTCAGCCCTAGCGGGTGTTCGTGGATGTGCATGTGTGCGTGCAAGCGTGTGTGCGTGCATGCGTGTGTGCGTGCATGCATGTATGCGTGCATGCATGTGTGCGTTCATGCATGTGTGCGTGCATGCGTGCATGTGTGTGTGTGTGTGCATGCGTGTGTGTGTGTGTGTATGTGTGTGTGCTTATGTGTGTGTGTGTGTGTGTGTGTGTGTGTGCGTGTGTGTGTGTGTGTCTGTGTGTGTCACTGTCTGTGTTTGTCTGATTGATTGTATGTTTGTCCATGTATATTTTTTTCTTTCTTTCTATTTCTTTACTTGCATGACATCCCATTTGTTTGCTTTTCTTCTGTTATTCAATTCAATATTTTTTTCCTTTGTAGAAGAAAGAGAAATGGTCTTCATTTTATATTGTTTTTAGTTTTATTTCTTTATTTCACTATAAGCATGTCATAAAGTGCATGGGTTTTTAAGGTGAAAGTTTAACATAAAACACACAAAAGGCTCAGAAAAATATGCATTTTATTTTTTGGTAGTCTTTTTCTTTTTTTCTTTTTTTTTAGTTGAAATAGAGATAACTGAAGAATTTGGCTTTTATTTTTGAATATCTTGAGAGTCCCTTATTATGCCATGGTTTCTAGATTTTTTTTACGTTGATGAATAGTGTTTTAAATGTGCTGTAAATATAAGATTTTCTTTTGCCATTGGCTTTAGCCATACGAGATTCCTTTTAACACACACTCACGTCTTGTGTGGAGGAAATGTGTTAGACTGCATAAGTAGAAAAGTGGAAAGGCAGTTAATTGCCATTACTTCAGTTTACTTTATTCTGCAGGATATCAGAAATCCTTCAGTTTAGTATGCTGAAACAATATATATATATTTATTTTTTCTTTACGCACTTGTTCAATCTTCTTTGAATTTTGTTTTGATAACTGATATATTGCATTTGCACCCCTGGTTTTCCTTACAGAAATTGGAACGCCTGAAAGCAGTAAGTTGGTCGTTGTTAGTTTCTGCTGCCGATGATTTGGTAGATAGAAAGCTCTTTCTCTCTCCTGATTTTATTCTCTTGCTCTTGATTCTTGCCTGTTGAGAATCATTCATTTATTTATTGTGAATGAATTAGGTTGACCTCATCGGGTAGCAAATTTACGATTTGTGTTTTCCACGCTGTTATACGTCGTGCTTTGAATTTCCCAATTAGTCAGTATCTTTTAAGTTGCCTGTTCCATATGATTGCCTAGAATGTGAATAGTCCTATGTGAATTAGCAGATGTTTGGCTTCAGAGATACACAGTATTGATTATTGATGTCATTAATGTTATAACCATTTGATTTGGCAGTAATGCTAGGAATATTTATTTATTAATTTTTTTCTCTGCTATCTTCATATATGCTAAGACTAAACAATCTGAATTTGGCTGAGATAATTCTTTTTTAGTCGTATGGTGAATGTTTTTATTTTTTCGATTTGTAAAATTGTCTTCCAGTTTTGATCACTCATTATCTGAAACAGTGTTACTAGATTTAATTTTGATGATCATAATGTATAAATGTTATGATATAGTGTTTTAGAGTGCTTGATATTTTGTATTTTACTTGCATAACATTGAATTAATGCCAATTTTGCCACAGGTGAATGTTTTAATGTTATAATTCAAGTCTGATTTTAACATTTGCGATTTTTGTAAATACATGCTGGATGAGCCTGATATTTTGGCAGTGATGTTGTTATTAATGATCCATTGATTGTGATTTTATAAAAAATAAGTGAAATGAATGTCAAAGCAGCTTGTGTGTTATGGACATTATGGTTTTATGAAAATTAATTGTATGATGTCTGATAGACATACATGTTATGTTTGTGGATAATCTTTTATATGATATTCACTGAATATTAGAATATTTATTAGAAAGAAGATGTAAATAAAAAAAAAGTTTATAAATTAATCAAATACTGAGTATGCAAGGTCATTTATTATAATTTGTTAGATGCTGTTTTAGATCATGTTTTTATGGTATGTTTTTAAAACATTTAGATTCCATATAGTGCAGTGAGGAAATGTTAACTGGTTAACTAAATTACTTAGCTACTATGAAGGGGAGTTTCCTCTCTGTATCCAAAGTGAGGTATATAGCTTTGTAGTATTTTATATTTCATAGATAAGGTAAAAGATGAGTCCTTGCCCTTTTCTTTATCTTTTTTTTTATATTTTTTTATTTAACGAGATGTGAAATTCTCTTAAGGTTTTGAATTAACATTGTAAAGATGTTATTGTTTTTTCTTTAGAGTGAATAATATCATTAGGACAAGGTGCTTATTTCTCTTACCAATTGCAGAGTCAGAGCACAACAGACGGAGAGTACATCAAAGAAATGAAGAAGGAGGTAGAAGAACTAAGAAAAAAACTCAAGAACGGGAACCATAGAAGCTAACAGGGCATTTGAGATGGAGGAATTGGAGATTAATCTGAGAGCTAGTGTGGAAGAACTTCAAGCTAAGGTATGTGTAACAAACTTATTCTGTCCAGCCCAGCTGAGATGGGGCTGAAAAAACTACATTTGTACCTGTACTCACTAAAGTAGCATTATGTTTATACATTATTATGTAACCATGTTGATATAGTACTTCATTTTCAACCTGCCTCATTTCAGGTGATGGACATGGAAAGGGAAAAGGAAAGAACAAGATAAAGTCCTGTTGGAAAATATTGAGATGATAAAGTCCCTCAAGACGAGCAATGAGGCCTTGAAAAATGACATCAGTGAACGTGAGCAGAAGATCCAACTCCTGGAATCAAAGCAGGAGGAAGACGGTGCAAAATCAAGGGAGAAGTCAACAGAAATTGGCGAGAAGGATGCGAAGATTAGGGAGCTACAGCTTGAGGTTGAGAGGAAAGGGAAGGACTTTGAAGATGTGTCCCAGCAGGTGGAGGAGGTCCTACAGGACATCGTTAAGGAGAGACAAGAAAAAGACGTTCTCGGAAGGAGATATAGGGTAATTCCATTCTTTAGATTAGCTTCACATATATATAATTTCACTCTTTACATTGGTTTCATTCTTGCTGCTAAAATTTTTTGTGCCATCTTAGGTATATAATGTAGAAAAAAAAAGAAGAATGAGGATATAATAACAATTCCTTTTTCTAACCTTCCAGGACTCAAAACACAGCTCAGTTCAGGCTCAAGTGAGTCTTCAGGTCTTTTACTTGAACTTGACAAGGTGAAGAAGAACTTAAGGCTGCCACTAGTCAACTTCAGGAAGTGAATAACAAAGTAAGTAATGTTCATTCATTGGGCCTGTGCTATAACTATTATTTGCAGCTCCTATTTTTGGAGGACTAGGAATCTGATGCAGTTTTATATTTGGAAAAAATGAAGAGGTTACATTGATACAATGGAAAGTGTCTCCTAGGAAGCATATGTGTGAGCTGTAAGGTTAAGATTTTTCCTTCTTTCTTTCTTTCCCAATAATGATGGTCATGTCACATACAGATCAAAAATGTTGAAATGGAGAAGACCAAAGCTGAGGAAGAACTCAAGCAGGCTAGCGGTTCAGCTTCAGATATGTCAGTCCAGCTCAAGAATGTCACAGCTAAGCTGCAGGATACGGAAAAAGAACTATTGATTTTCAAGGTTAGTACTGTCCATGTGTTACTGTTCAGCACTGTAGATTCTGGTCAGTATTGCTTATTGTTTAGAATTGAACTGGATTTTGATTGGAGTTCATTGTTGTGTATGTTCTGTTTTCTAAGGCTCTGTATTACTCTTTGATTGAAATGAATATTCAGTATGCCAGTCATCTCTGGCTCCTCTCACATTCTTATTCCATCCAGGGAGGCTTGAGAAAGCAGAAGTGTCCCTTAGAAGTGAGCAGGAAGGCAAGCTCTCCCAGACTGAATCAGTGGAGAGAAACAGTTGTCAGAGTTAAAGAACAGCACTCACAGCAACTTCTTAATTATGAAGAACAGGTCAAAACATTGGTAAGTTAGGTTTTGTTTTTTATCTTTTAGTGATATCATATTCTGAGACTTCTAAGATATATTTATATATCTTGCTACAGATTGTTGGTTGATTTTTATTTAAGTGAAAAAAAAGCTATGTGGATGTAATGATAGCTTTTTATGAAAGCTGGCTTTGTAAGAACGTATATCTAATATGTGCATGGCACTTGATTTGTACATGACATTATCATTACTCACAGGAAGCACATTAGCTGAAAAGACAATGGAGATCAGTGAGTTTGGCAAGATCACGGCTGCAAGTTCCCATGTGAGTGCCCTGGAAGAGCAGAAGAAGCAGCTGGAGGAACAAGTCGCATCACATCTGGCCTCCTCGTCAGATCCTCACAACAGCTGACCACCCTTAACAACCAACTGCGGGAGAAGGAAAAGCAATTGGAAACCATTCAGGAACAACTGCGTGAAAGGAAGCGGCCCTCTCTCGGGAGGTGGAGACGAGGAGAAGGAGAACCAGGCAGTACTCCAGCAGGCCAAAGAAGCTAAAGAGAAATCTGAGGCTGAGTTGCAGATGCTGAAGAGAAGCTGAGTGAGATGGAGAAAGAAGCTGATGAAAGCAAGAGCCAAGTGGAGGCCCTAAAGAAACAACATAAGACAGAAATGGAGGAGTTGATGAAGCAGAAGGATTTGGAGATCTATGAGTCCCAAGAACAGTTGATGCTGAAAGAGGCTGAAGTTACAACATTAGAGGTGTGTATTGCTAAACTTTTTTTTTGTCTTGTGGTGTCTTTACTGCTCTTTTCCAGCTTTTCTTATTCACACAGTTGCATACTCAAATGTGTACTCATGTGGACTCAAGCATATGCTTATAATGAATGTGCATATTTGCACTCCTACACATCCACAGATGTGAATACAAACAAAGCCTCACTAATTATTTTTACATGATTACAAACAGCTGCACACCATAAACATTTCTAAAGTATAAAAAAATTATTACTTCATTTTTGCTATTTACTATTATTCCAACTTTATATCTCTTCAGGAGACACAGAAGAGTTTGGAGAATCAAGTGAAGGCATGACCTGTGAATCAGCTGACAAACAGGGAAGCATGGAGAAGGCACTTGCTGACATGAGAACAGAGTTGGATAATTAGTCAAGGAGAAAAACGAGGTAGGTCTCTTAATGTAAGCCTTGCAGGCAATTTGAGACACTTTGAAAGTCTGTTTATTATCATTATTATTATGTTTTTTTTTACCTTTAAATTGTGATGAGAAAATTTCAAATCAAGCTGATGTAAGAGATGGATGAGATATAAAATGACAGACCAAAATGTTGAGGACAAATTAATGAATGTATAGACAGATCAAGTAATAAGATCAACATTTTCCCCAAGATGGTTAGGAGAAGAAGGAATTAGAGGAACAAATATCAAGTCTGAGAGAATGATAACTGCAAGCTACGAAACAGAGCAGGAAGCGAACCTCTTGGCTGTGACGAGAGAGGATCAAAAGGTATGTGCACTTGTGCCAGGTATATCTATTGCATTATGACATAAGTTTTGCCATTTATGATAATTTTTTTTTGTAAAAAATTTTACTACTATATATTTTTTTTTTTTTTTTTTTTTTTTTTTGTACATGAGTGGTGCACATTATATGCTGACGTAGATAATTGTATGATTACATTCATGCATGTAGTTTTACATTCTTGTAGATTGCATACTCATTTGCTGCTCTTGTATGACTTGACATTCACTGCTTCTTGGGATTTTTTGATATACACTCTGTATATCTTAATTTTCTTATGCTGAATAAAGATCTCTTATTTGTAAAGAAGTAATACCTTTATATTTTAAAACAGATTTGATTGATGATTTATTTGTGTCAATTGGCTAAGTAAATATGATTTAAAGCTCATAAGTTATAGCTTGAAATGTGAATAAATAGATTCTGTCAGGCTGTCATTGATAAAACTGAGTAAGTCTTTTTTTTAAACTTCCAAGTGTGTATGATTAATTTAAGATTAGCTTTCCTGTTACTGATCTATCTAGGTTTTGTAAAGGAAAAGAAGTGGTCAGAAACTGGTTTGGTTAAAGTTGCTATTTCCTCTTCTCCTGAGAAAAAAAATTACAGACTCTTCAAGATTTCTTTTACATTGAATGTCTCTCTTTTGATGTAAATTTTTCCTCCATTCCTCTTTAATTATATTTTTCTTTTGTAGGACAGCCTTAGTATATGCTCTCAACATGCTTATAAATACTGTAGTGTAGTTTATTTTTGACATTTCTTCATTATAATTGTTTTTGTTATTACATTGAAGCTTCCTTTCCAGTGAACTTTAATCCATAGTTATGATCATGTTTTACTATATGGTAGTAAGGCCAAAGTTATTATGCATACTCTTCATGTGTCCACATGACAATGAACATCACTACTGCCATCTGTGTTGATTATTATTGAACATTTTTTATGGCTGCTTGCATCATAGGAGGCATTGCTTTTTTATATAGTGGTTGAGATTCCTCATAATAGGTCACTGTTTAAGAATAATGTTGTTCATCTCTAAGGTAAATGCTGATTGGGGTGATAGATATAGGAAATGGTCTAATATCTCAGAGATGATTGTAATATAATCTTAATAGAATTAAATGTACTCCTAGGTACGCTGTTATTGTCATAGGCTATTTATGAAGAAAGCCTGTAATTTATTAGCATGATTACAAGTTTGAAAAGGCTTCATGTAAGCCATTGGGTCTGGATGCTTCACTGCTACCATATGCTCAAAATTCTGGGATTAGGTTGACTTGGGTGGCTACTCTCATAGGTGTGCAGCTTGTAGATTGAACGCACACGAGCTCATGCGTGCGGTGACAAGACTCCATGCCTCCCCTTTGCAGTGTTATTTTCTAGGCCTTTTTCCAAAATCCATATTTGTCATTTGATCTGTTTTATCCAGCTGGTAATAGACTGTTTCCTTGCACAGACTCTTAGTGCAAGAATGATGATAATAACATAAGTAACTTTCTTTTATGTTTAATTTTAATTTTTTTTCTATAGTATTACCTGCGTCACTGGTCATAGCATCTAGGAATAGGATCCTGAGCATGGAAGTAGTGTCCTAACTGGAGCCAGAGCTTTTCCAGTCATGGTTCATGGATCATACATTCTACACTCATTTATCAGTGGAAATAATGCAAAGCTTTGTGTACATCTGAGACATTCCCCTTCACCCAGGCCTTCAGCTGAAATGCTCACAACAAGGTCACATTACCCCGGCCCACAGCCAAATTTTCCCATGATAGCATCTTCATGTAACCCACTCCTCAGCCAAATATTGTTAGTGTATGAGTGTGAGGAGTGTAAGTGAGTATGATTGTGAGATTGAGAGTTAGAGTGAGTGTGTGTGTTTGAGTGTGTAAGGGTGTTTGAGTGTGTAAGAGTGTTTGAGTGTGTTTGAGCATTTGAGTGTGAGTGTAAGTGAGAGTGTGAGTGTGAGCATGAGTGTAAGTGTGCATATGAGTGTAGCGTGAATGTAAGTGTGAATGTGAGTGTGTTTGTGTGCGAGTGTAAGTGCAAGTATAAGTTATAAGTGTGAGTGTGTGTGTGCATGAATGTGTTGCGTGCGTGCGTTGTGTGTTTGTGCGTGTGTGTGTTTGTGCGTGTGTGTGTGTTGTTGTGTGTGTGTGTGTTGTTTGTGTATTTGTGTTTGTGTGTGTGTGGATGTGTGGATGTGATGTGTGTGTGTGTGTGTGTGTGATGTGTGTGTGTGTGTGGATGTGTGGTGTGTATGAGTATGTGTGTGTGTTGCATGAGAGGAGAGGGAGAGGAGAGGAGAGGAGAGAGGGAGGGAGGGAGGGAGGAGAGAAAGAGAGAAAGAAAGAAAGAGAGAAAGAAGAAAGAGAGAAAGAAGAGGGAGCATGTTAGAATGACTAAAGATAGACAATATCTCAGGTGGGAAATGTGCTAATGCACAAAGGCTTTCCCAAACTATATTTTAAATTTGCTCATTCTGAATGTTGTATTATTTCATCAACAATCACACATATCGTCACCTGACATCATTTAGCTTTTGCCAAAATTCTCAGATATCGGCAACTGCTTGGGGGAGGTCATTTTGGTTAGTGACCTGGTGATTGAATTTATGCATACAGAGTTGTTAAGGTGATAAAAAAATGTTAGGGAATATTGCATTGTTAATTTTGTGTATATAGTCCTGTTAGTTTTATTAGGATTAGCTGTAGTTTGTTTCTTGAATAAACACAAATGCTGTTTGTTGTATATTGTTTTTATTTATTTTTTTGTTTGTTTATTGTTCCATAGAGAATGTTGTCAGTCTTAAGTTACTTTCTATATAGGTGTTTTTCAGTCATTTTCTTTACTTTTAAGGTACAGAATCACACTTGCGTTTTTAGTTTCTTCTTTTTATTATTTTTCTGTTTAATTTGGATTTGTCTCTGCTTACTTATCATGTTCTAAACTTGTGATGAGAAGAGAAAACATGAATTCATCAGCTATGAAAGATCTTTTTCAGATATGGTCATAATCTTTTCTTATCTGAACCTGATAATCCTTGCACTTCTCTCTTGCAAAGATTAAAGAAAGGAAGGAAAAGCTGTACTTCTTTCACTCTGTATCTGTGCCTCTTTTTCTTTGTCTCCCTCTTTATCTCTTATGGTTTGTCCATCATATTGCCCTTATGCGCATAGGTGGCAGCCTTGAAAGCAGAGGTGGAACACTTGATGACCTCCTTCAACAGCCACCGAGAAGACCTTCAAAAACAGCTGATGCAAGTGCAGGCGGATAAGGAGGCAATGGCAGAGATCCAGAAGACATTGTACGTCTGTCTTCCATGGCTCTTCTTACTTACCCCCCCCCCCCCCCCCCCCCCCCCCTTCCTTTCTTGTGAT